GCGGCGAGCGCTTGGAGGCCCGCGCTGGATGACCATATGGATGTTTGGTTTGGCCTCTGGTGTTTTGTTATCGATTGAGCACATCCTGCTCTTCGCACGCGCGGACGGCATGTGCGCATCGTCAATAATCGCATCCAGCACGGCCACATGCGGATGCATGCACACGCGCACCAAAACCCGCCCATCCCGCACCCGCCCAAGCATGACGCGCAGGCACGCTCATCGCCAGCGCCGCTCACCCTCAAGAGCGTCGGCAAGGAGGCGCCCTCTGCCGGCCGGCGCGTCAGCTGCAGCAGGGTTGCTGAGGGGGCAGGGGGATGCCCATGGGCCGGTCGCAGAGCTGAGAAGTTGTAGGGGTTGGTGCTCGCTTGTCGACAAAAGGCTGCCCCCGCCTGCCGCATGGGCCACCTGCATGAACGTGTCCCGAATGGCCCGCCGATGCCATGCCGGCTGCATGCACGCGCCCGTCCCCGCATGCGAGCCGCATGCCATGCAGCCCCTGCCGCATGCGGCGACGCATGCACGACTGCGTCCCTGAGCGAACGACACAAGCCAGAAGGCCAGCGCACCCGCCCCATGGTTCGCGCCCTGCAGGGTGGCAGCTGTGATGATCGCGACTCCTGGGGCCGACGGCGATACCACCAGCGTGTACGCCTCTGCGTCAGCGCCGTTGGGCACCTCATTCGGCCCAGCTGGCCCTGCCTGCAGCCGCATAAGGACACGGTGCAGCAGCGGCGGGTGGGCGGCGGTGCCGGTGATGCCTCCGCCACCGCCGCCACCGGTACCGCTGTGCGCCGCCGCGCATGCTGTGCCCCAGCGCCTGCGGATCCAGTCGCACAGCTGCTGTGCCACCGGAGCGAGGCTGTCGTGATCGAACTCCACGGTCAGCTCGTCTCCGAGGGGCAGCGCGCTCCCTCCCTGCAGCTCTACATCTGATGGTAGCGGTATAATTGACACCTCTGAAGCGTCTTGCATGACCGCGAAGAGATCCAGATCAATACCGCAAACTGCACTTGAAAACGCGCCGTCACACGGCGCAAAGGAAAAAACGTTGGTTATGGGTGCGTCGAGTGGCGTCGGGACCACGCTGTCTAGCGAAGCAGGTGTGCAACCGCACTCAACCGCCTTCACAACTACCGTACCAGTTCCGGCGAGCAGATTGCGAACGGGCAAGGTCATGATTCGACCCTTTAGGGCAGAACATTATGACATAACATAAGGTTGATTGGAGGAGGCAGCAGGCAGCGTCGTTTGAAGCAGCAGCTACGTTGCATTTAGGTGGATACTCTGGAGGTTGGGATTTGACACACGTCCGGTGAATCAAAAGCACCAAACGAGCACCACGATTGATGAGCCAGCCAGCAGGGAGGCTTTGAAAATCTATACTTTACATGACTGAAGCTATTCCGGCAACTTGTTCTTTGCACGCGTCCCCCAAACAAAGGGTTTGCCGTGGTCAAGGCCAATCAAAAGCATTGTACAAGCCTCTGGTCTGATGGGCCTGCCACGTCTAGCTGCTAGGTTGCTGCAAGAGAAGGGGGCCCTGAGAGAAATTCTAACACGCTCAAGTAAGTGACCGGCACGCGCAAACGGGGGCAAGCAGCCGGCGGTGGCCAAGTCAGCAACGCGCACAAAGTCGAATTGGTTTGACCACCAAGGGGCAATCCACCGCGTAATTGAAATATACAACTGCCGACCGTTGCTTCGACTCTGTTAGCACACCCACCAAACGCACTGGATGGTGTACATTATACCCCAGAAGATCATACAGATGCAGTACACTCAACGTGCATGACCACTATACTGTAATTACGCAGGCAACGGAAGGGGAGGTTTATCCCATTGTGGGCAGCAAGTGATGTTTCAACATGCTCTTAGGCCTGCTTACTGTTGAGGGTTGCAATGCTTGGTAACAATGTGTGAGTCCCTTGCCCCCCTCAACAGCGCGTGAGAGCGGCAGGCCTACAGCCGGGTGCTGCCAATCAGGACCGTCAGCTGGTCTGGCCCCCGGGGGTCAGCAATCAGGTAGCCGCCCGCGCGCTCCGCCAGCGCCGCCGCAGCCGCCGTTAGCACTGCCCCATCCCCGACGCCGCCCGTCCCGTGCCACGCGCGCACGTGGACCAGCCGCGCCTCCCACGCCTCCAGCCCCGCGGCCGCGCGCCGCCGGCGCTTGCGGGGTGCCTCCCCGAGCTCGCGGGCCCTCAGACGGCGGCAGGCGCCCCGCAGCTTCTCGATTCGGTCTTGTGCGCAGACGATCGACTGCCATGACTCCTTCCATGAGTCATCGACCCGCATGTACCAGTCGTATTTCAACAGCTCGCACTTGGCCTGGGTGAGTGCCGGGAGTGCGCGCACAACACCGTGAGGT